CAAACAAAGTTTGACGTCATCTGCGTACATCATCACTTGAGTGTAGAACCACTTCAGGCAAGTCATTGATAAAGAGGCCGAACAGAAGTGGCCCAAGGTGGCTCCCTTGAGGAACGCCAGAAGAAACAAAAACCCGGTTTGAGAGAGAGCGCTTAAAGGCAACACGTTGACTACGGTTGGATAAATATGTTGCAATCCAGTTAGTCAATAAAGCAGGGAAACCAAGAAGCGTAAGTTTTCTAAGTAGTAGTAGGTGATTTACCGAGTCAAAAGCCTTGCTGAAATCGGTGAAGATAACGTCTGTTTGAAAATTTAATTTGAAACCGTTTCTAATGACAGCACAAAATTCTAGAAGGTTAGTAGACGTTGATCTGTTTTTCATAAAGCCGTGCTGAGAGGGGGACATAATTGACCGACATTGGTGCTGCAGCTGCGCAGTAATCAGAAGTTCGAATAACTTTGGAATAGCACTAAGCTTTGCAATACCTCTGTAGTTTTCGATATTAGATTTACTGCCCTTTTTATGGAGAGGAATGATGAAAGATTCCTTCCAACTTTCTGGGAAAAATGAAAGACGAAGCGACATCTGAAAAAGAATTGACAGAGGTCGGCATAAAGCACCAGCACAGTGTCTCAAAACACAGCTAGGAACGCGATCAGGACCAGAAGAAAAGGAAGGTTTTAGTGTCTTGAGGTTCTGAAAAACATCGTCTTCGCAAATAGCGGGCATGAAAATGGAATTAGAAAGTGGAAGAGAATAAGGATACGAAGAGGTTGTATTGTAGCCAATGGATGAGTACGTAGACTGGAAAAATTTTGCGAACAGGTTCGCTATATCAGGCTCGTTAGACGCGGACTCAGTATTGAGATGAAGACAAGAAGGTAAATTTTGGGATCTTCGTTTTGAATTTGCAAACGCGTAAAATTGCTTAGGATTAGCCTGGAACTCATCCCTACACCGATTTAGGTGGTTTCTGTAGCATACAGAATTGTGGGCTAAGAATTTTGTGCGAGCTGTCAAGTATCTAGAAAGGTCCACCTGTGACCCAGTCCTAGTGAATTTCTTGTGAAGCCTCGACTTCAAGTTTTTAAGGTAAGATAGTCGACGAGAAAACCATGGGGGCTTGTAAGACGCGTCAGGTGAAGGAAAGGATGGGACATAAATGTCAAAGGCAGAATATAAAATATCGTAAAAGCGCATAACCATGTTATTGGGGTCGTCTAGAGAATCCAAAAAAGTCCAATCAGCTAGGGATAAATAGGAGTTAATGCCATTGAAATTAGCTCTGCGGAAGCAGCGAAAAGTTGTCGGTTCAACTTCTGGACTAGGAAGTAAAGGAGACGACGCTTCAAGAATTATCTCCAGAGTGGGATGATAAGCATCTTCAGGATAGGAGATAGGGTCAATTCTTGAGACAAGGGCGTTGGCGAACTCGGACGCAAAGATAAGGTCCAAGATTTTATCACTACAGTTCTTGACGTAGTTCAATTGGCCCAAAGAAAGGTCAATAAGACCTTGGACTAAGTCATGAGCTGCAGTAGGAACCAGAAAATTGGTGTCTGGTGATGGCAACCAAGATATGGAAGGAAGGTTAAAATCGCCCATAGCTATTAAATGGTCATTAACACCCAGAGTTGAGTGAATTCCCTGGATTAAGGACAGGTGCTGTAGATAAATAGTAGCGTCAGACCGGGGTGGGATGTAAGAGCATGATACATAGAGAGAATAGTCGTGAACTTGAACACGAACCGCAACAAACTTCAAAATATTATCTGAGTAGGTTGTGGGAACCAGTTCAGAAATAAGGTCAGATTTCACGGCAATAAGAACGCCGCCGCCAGTACGCATTTGACGGTCACGCCTATAGACAATATAGTTGCCAGCGAATAATTCGCAATCGGAAACAGAGGAGTTAAGCCACGTTTCGGTGAAGGAAATAACGTTGGCATCGAAGGAGGCACTATTAGCGTGCAGCTTGCTAAGTTTCCCTAACAAACTACGAGCATTCTGATAATGCAAAGAAAACGAGTTAATTAGTTTTTAGGGGGCCTGGTTGAGGGAGTCAGGGGCACTCCAGCCCGTGGGTTGCTCTTGTAAAGATATTCGTGAACAATAGCATGTACGGGCCATACGGAAGCATCAAGAACCTTACTATATAACGTGTCGGAAAGTGCAATTTTAAATGAGGAAATATCTCGTTTCTGCTTAAAATTGAACTTTGAGACAGAGAATTCAGTTAAAGGAACATTCAATTTGTTGCTCAAGTGGATCGCGACATCTTTCGCGGTTGCATCTGGATTGAGGCGAGAGACAAAAACTAGCCTTTTTGGGGCAACGCCGGCAAGAGGCGCCGGACTCCTTGGGGCGACACCAGAGATAGTTGAAAGTTGAACTCTGGGACTAGAAGTCAGAGGAGATGCGATGATGACCGCCGGGCCAATCACAGAGTGAGCATTCTTCAGATGGTTAGAGGCCGGCAGGGCTTTGTTTGCTGCGGCAGCATGCGACGTAGACGCCAGATCCATGTTGACTGGCTGCATGGTTGGAGATGCGACGATATCAGCTAGTCCAGGACAAGGGGAAGCATTTGCTGCTTGACCCGACGCGGCGACATCGGCGGCTGAGTCATCAGCAACACCCGTGGTATGACCATTTGGTGGGTTGCGTGGGCTAAACAGCAAAAGAGGGCTCGCAGGGTCTGCAACAGGCAAAAAATTATTAGGAATATGTCCCGTGTTGTTATTTGGCGTGACACTTATCAGTTTCATGGATTTAAAAAAAGATTCCGTTTTTTGGAAACGGCTTGCCAAATCCTTGAACCCAGCCGCCAAAGATTGAAACTCTAAATGAGTTTGTCTCATAAAAATCCGCATTTCGGATTTAATATGAAGGCAGCTCGGGCACGTCCAATCCAAGCCAGCGTGATCTCGTATGCGGTCGGCGATGCGCGGGCCAACATGCCCAAGATCGGCGCAGCCAGGGTGTGCGGCATTAGTGCACAGCCAACAATAAACGGTGGCCTGCCGCGAAGTAATTTTGCGGCTATGTGGGCAATCCGTGGCACAGCAAGTTGACATTATGTCGTATGAAGCAACGCGCAAGTAATAAAAAGGAAATTGACTTGAGTGGCGAAGGAACCGATCAAAACAAAAACAGTGCGACAGAAAGATGTAAGCTTTTATCTCAGCTCAAGAAAGTATGAGATTGTGTGATTGTTCGCGGCTTGCAGATCACTTGCAGCAACAACAACACTGAGACCAGCGCAGCAATAAGCGATAAACACACGGCGCAGAAAACAAGGGCGAAAGAATATTTTTCGCCCTTGATGTTTTCGGAAATTAAAGTCACTGACTTAAATGAGATGATCCAGATATTGTGGGTAAATAAAGAATAGCCAAAACACTGATCATTTGCCAAAAATTTGGGCTTTTTAGAATAAATATTCACGGTGAGAACTTTAAGCGAGGGTAGAGCGAGAGAAAAACACGTCCGACTCGTAGGCGATTATGAAACAGTTTTTGATTACGCAAAACATTTTAAAACCCTTCAACTTGGATTATAATTCTAATTCGGTTGTCCAACAAAAAGTGGAAGAACAAAACAAAACAAAAACACAATAAGTCCAGCGGTCCTAACAGTTAATAACAACAAATAAATTTTAAGAAAATTAATTTAAACAAATACTTCAACTTTTAAAAGTGAAATCAAAAATAAACTAAAATAAATTTTTATTTTACTATAACAAAAAATTTACTATATTAATGGCACAACCAGTTATCGCCGCACCTCAAATCGTTGCACTAAGCGACAACAACCAGCCAGATTTTCTTATTTATATTCAGGCGATTAAAGATTCCATTAAAATATTGATCAGAAAATTACCAATACAATTATTCACTATTTTGGCTCATCATAACATTGATGACTTAAGATCATTAATCACTATCGCACAAATTGAGGGAATATATGAAGAACATGTTAATTTTGAATTAAATAAAATTCCAGAAAATCGTAATAAAAACTCAAACCCTAATCAGAACTCTAAACCACACAAATTCAATACAAATACACAAACCCAATATCGACCAAGTTACCCACAATATTCTCAACCATTCCAACCTAATTTTAATCAATACACACAATCATTTAGACCCACCTATACACAACAAAAATATGTGGGCAAATCATTTCAAACCAAACCAATACAAGAACACACAACCATTTACTCACAAAAATCCTTTTCCACAATATTCAAATAAAATTCAAAATCCTCAAACAGCACATTTTAAAGGAAATACATACCCTCAACAACAATACCTAAAAACCAAAATATGTGGGCAAATCATTTCAAACCAAACCAATACATGAACACACAACCATTTACTCACAAAAATCCTTTTCCACAATATTCAAATAAAATTCAAAATCCTCAAACAGCACATTTTAAAGGAAATACATACCCTCAACAACAACAACCCTCCACATCTAAAAATACTAATTTTCCGGTTACCAAACGACTTAGACCATCGGACAACGAACAAACCAAAATGTCTATTGACGAATTGAGATTTTAAGACACACACGAACACGAATACGAAGAAATACAACCTAATTATTATGAACAACAGTATTATGACCACAATCAATACCATAGGTTGATTAATGAACAACAACAGCAACACCAGGTCCAATACACCCAAATAAAGATGAACAAAATCTAAATAGCTCAGAACCAAACGAAAATTTTCGGTTAACAGCCCCGGACAACAACAATACATAGAAATAGCATAAAAAGGTTGCACATACAATTGCCTTATAGACACAGGATCCACAATAAATATGATTGTTTTGAGGAGGGCATTAATTTATGCCACCTATTAAGCGAATTGATTTAGCGAGGGGTTTGTTTTGTGTTGGCGTAAAATTAGTTATGTTTTAATTTGTGTGTGCTTGTGTGTGGTTTGGTTACAAAGTTTTTGTGTGTTTTTAGTTTCAACGTAAATGAGCGAATGAATCGAGAGAATAGATAAGCCAAACAGAAGAGCTGCGGCGGAAGAGCTTTCATGCCGGCTTATGAGGTGGAAAGCTTCTGCCGCAGCTGATCGCTTGTTTACAAATAATGATTTAAAACATTTAATATTAAATCTGCTGCTTCTGCTCCCGACATGCTCCCCCCGCTGGATGCGGCACGCTGCCAGATGAGGTGGTTTCCAGGGGTAGAACAGCTATTTTGCCAACAGCCCTTTTTATTAGGCCAGTGGCTGTCCGAATGACAGCGACACGGGCCACACCGTCAGCTCCATGGATAATGCTCTCCACTCTGCCAAGACGCCATTGAAGCGGAGGGATGTTGTCCTCCTTGAGCACCACAATGCTATGCGGTAGGATGTTGGGCCTTGATGCACGCCATTTTCCACGTTCTTGTAAAAGCGAGAGGTAGCTGGTACTCCACTTCCGCCAGATGATTTGCTGAATTTGGCAAACTCGTTGCCAGCGGCTCAGCCGATCGATGCTGAGGTGCGTGATGTCGGGCTCCTCGATTGTGGCGAAAGAAGACCCAATCAAAAAGTGACCAGGTGTAAGGACATCCAAATCGTTATGGTTTTCTGAAATTGGACAGAGCGGTCGAGAGTTAAGCATCGCTGAAATTTCATAAACTAAAGTGCGAAGCTCATTGAATGAGAGAATAGTGTTGCCAACGACCCGATGAAAATGATATTTTGCAGATTTGACGGCAGCCTCCCATAGGCCGCCGAAATGAGGCGAACGAGGGGGAATAAATTGCCATTTGATCCCGATGGAAACGAAGGCCTGCTGAAGATAGCTGTTTTGAGGGTCGGCGAGAAACAGTTGCCTCAGTTCCAGCAGCTCGTTTTTGGCTCCAACGAAGTTTGTAGCGTTATCGGACCATATTGTGCCAGGCTTGCCCTTTAGGCTTATGAAGCGCTTGAGGGCAGCGATGAATGAAGCCGCAGACAAGTCCTCCACCAGTTCCAAATGGCAGGCTTTAGTGGCGAAGCAAACAAATATTGCGATATAGCATTTGACGGGTGGCCGGTTTCTGACTTCAGACTTGGAGTAGAAAGGACCACAGAAATCGATTCCCACTGTGACAAATGGTCGACTTGGCTGCACGCGGTTGGATGGCAAGGGGGCCATGATGTGCTCAGCTAATTTGGGCTTTAATCGAAAGCAGCGAATGCATTTGTTGATAGTGGCGGCGACTATTTTTCGACCACCAATTGGCCAAAACCTTTGCCGTAAGGCCGCCAATAAGCTCTGCGGGCCTGAGTGAAGAAATTTCAAATGATAGTGAGCTATGATTGCTGACGTGACTGGATGATCCTTGGGAAGCAAAATTGGGTGTCTTGCATCATAATCCAATAATGAATTCTGCAGCCGACCGCCAACTCGAATAAGTCCCGATTCATCGCAGATTGGATGCAGCGAGTACAGCTTGCTTTTTGAGGAAATCTGCCTTTCGGATTGCAGGGCCTTATACTCCTCAGCAAAGTTGATGAGCTGGATTCCCTTGATGAGCAGATGCGTGCCTTCCTTGATGTCGTCTACTGTAAGAGGTCCTCGCCGTCGTGGCTCATCCTTGGCTTTTAGCATTAGGAACCGATGTATGTAGCCAAAGACTCGCTGCAGCTTTCCAAAACAATTTTGAAACTTGCAGCCATACGAAATATCCTGGCTTTGCGTCAGCACCAGCGCGAGGCGGCGGCGTTCAGGCACATCTACTAGAGTAGGCGTATGAGGCGGCCAGCAAGCTTCGTCTGTCCGCAGGAATGGTGGGCCCTCACGCCACAGCGTCGAATCCAAAAGTTCGAGCGGAGTACATCCTCTGGATAATATGTCAGCCGGGTTGTAGTGGGTAGATATATGATGCCAAGCCATATCCTTGGTCCTTTCTTGAATCTGCGCGATTCTGTTGGAGACAAAAATGTTAAAGTCTGATGGGGCCTGGCGAATCCAAGAGAGCACAATTGTTGAGTCAGACCAACAATGATATGTGCAAGGCTGAGAAATGGCATTAGCGATGTTGTGGATGCCGAGATTTGCGCGGAGTGTTCCAACCATAAGGAATGCAAAGATTGTGGCAAAGTCTCATCCCAGTCGAGCTTATCTTTCCACAGGATTTGCAGGAATATTTTGAGCCTGGTTATAATGGGCGCTATAAGACCTAGGGGATCGTAGAATTTGGCTACGGCTGATAAAATAGAGCGCTTGGTAGCTGGCTTGTCTGCTACATTTCCAGAGAATCCAAAAAGCAAATTATCGGAACTTGTATCCCAGTATAGGCCAAGTGTTTTGGCGACGTCAGTCCCGTCACTAAATTTGAGCATTTTCTCGCGATCAGCCTCAAGTTCTCCTTCAATCGCTGCCGTCTCATTGGAGCACCATTTAAGAATTGGAAATAGGCCTTTTGCAAGTAACGATTTAACCTGCTGCCGGATATAAACGACATCTTCGATCGAACTGAATATTGGCCTGACTCAAGCCGAGAATAAGATTGAGCAAATAAATTCTCGCACAAGGCCTCCTCATCAGTTGGAGCAGATGACGATCCACAATAGCTGTCAATTTCCCAAAACCGTTTGACAAGGTCCGGCAACGATTCAGGTTCCAATTGTACATCGTGCTCAACTGACAATGCGGGAAGAGAAGAGTGTTTATGGGCCGGCGAAGATATGCCACCGGATACTACCCAACCCAATCTAGTTTTTTGCAAGGAGGGAAGGTGATCGGCCAGCCGTATCTGCCCAACGCAAAGCAGGTCGAAGAAGATTCCAGCTCCTATAAGAATGTCAATCCTTTGACTTTTATGAAAGAGCGGATCGGCGAGGAATAAATTGCTGGGGATGTTCCATTCTGAAGAGTTTAGGTCGAAATGCGGCTGATAATTTGTGATGGTGCTAGTCATTATTGCAGCGAATGATGTTCGGTAACCTTTGTTGCGAGATTGTACAATAATATCTACCGCCTTATCAGCCATGAGTGAAGACTCTCCTATACCTGAGATGCATGTATTTGAGCGACGAGTTGACAGTTGCAATTGATGAGCGAGTCGAGAAGTAATGAAGTTAATTTGCGATGCAGAGTCGAGCAAGGCTCTGCAGGGTACCATTATGCCGGAACGATTTCGGACATATATGATGGCAGTGGCAAGAAGCACATAATCAGATTGATGATCTACCGAGGCTTTAGGTGGGGGTGAATTTGGCGAAGCAGAAATGAGCGAGGCACTATTTTGAGGAGCAGAAGTGGATGTGGGCTGCGAGGGTGATGAAGCAGGATTTGACTCCAAATGTAGCAATGTATGATGCTTAGAGCGACAATGCCTGCAGTTCCCAGCTTTGCACTGCTGCAGGCTGTGGCCTTTACGCAGGCAATTTAGGCAAAGATGTAGCCTTTTTGCTTCTTTGTAGCGTAATGTGGGACTCAAGGCAATAAATTGTGGACATTTCGAAATAAAGTGATCCTTAGAATCACACAAAATACATAATGAGGTGTAGGATGATGCGGTGCAAGCGTTTTGGACATTTTTATTTATAGTTTTTCCCACCTGGTTGCTAGGTGTGTGGGTTACCATAGCATTTTCAATGTTTTCCATCATCCGACATCTCTTCTCCAAAAAGGCAGCCATATCCGTCCATTTTAGCAGCTTATTGGTAGGCAATCCCTCTTCCCACTTCTCCTGAGTATGTTGATCCAGTTTGGAGGACACCAGGGATATGAGCATTCCATCCGCAATCTCCTGGGTGGTTGCCATTGTGTTAAGGGCTCGCAGATGAGAGTTGATGCCGTCGCTCAATTGCCGCAAACTCCTTGCCGACCCTTTCACCACACTAGAAAGCCTGTAAATAGATCGTATGTGCCCCTGAAAATGCAAAAGTTTGTTATCAAACCTAGCAGTCAATAGGTCGACTGCCTTCTCATAATTGGCCTCTGTTGGCTCCAGCGAGCGAATTGTGTCTAATGCGGGGCCATCCAAACAGGAGCGTAGATGCTGGAATTTTTCCAAATTGGTCAGGTCCTCGTTGTTGCCGATGACTGTAGTGTACATAGCGTAGAAATCTGGCCAGTCCATATAAGCGCCTCCAAATCGTGGCAGCTTAAACTCAGGCAGCCTAGTGGCCCGAACACCAGCCCTGGAGGTTGAAGCCTGCTCGATGTTGAAATTTGGGAGTGCAGTCGAATTTATCACTGACACTCGGCGGAGTTTTGCTAGTTCGCGAGAGATTTTGGATTTCACCGCACAATAAATGTTTAGAAATTTTGCACGCACATCACTAGCCAGCTCTAGTAGATTGAGCCTTTCGACAGCTGTTTGAGACTTATCAAAATTATCTTGCATTTTTTCAATAAGCTCAAGCCTGACTTGAAGGTCGACCTCGTCAAAATGAGACGCCTCTTCTGAACCGAAAAAGTCATTTAAAGCCACTAGCTGTCGAAGAACCGAGTCCGCTTTGGCTTTATAAAAGTCAAAATCACTATTGGCCCCGGATGGGCACGCAGTAACCGAATCATTCTCTGCCATTTTATTTTCAAAAAGAGTATTCAAATGTCACCTTGGGCTTGCGACCGATGCAGCTGTACCAAACGCAGAGAATAGAGAACGAAAGAATAGCGGAGCCAAGCTTGGCGTTCACTGACCACGAGCTAACGGTTCTATCGGACCACCAAAACCAACAGCACAAACACAATTTGCACGAAAAGTATATAAAAGGGCTGCAACTATATGCTAGTGCACAAATATATAAAGAGATGCTATGTACTCGAATGTACCGATAAAGTTCAATAGCGATGCAACGATATGCAATTGTATTGTGTGAGCATACGAACTATATACATATGTATAAGCACTTTTCACCTTTTATTTTAACGAAAACGATTTTTTACGCGATCACGTCGGGGTCACCAAATGTTTTGAGGAGGGCATTAATTTATGCCACCTATTAAGCGAATTGATTTAGCGAGGGGTTTGTTTTGTGTTGGCGTAAAATTAGTTATGTTTTAATTTGTGTGTGCTTGTGTGTGGTTTGGTTACAAAGTTTTTGTGTGTTTTTAGTTTCAACGTAAATGAGCGAATGAATCGAGAGAATAGATAAGCCAAACAGAAGAGCTGCGGCGGAAGAGCTTTCATGCCGGCTTATGAGGTGGAAAGCTTCTGCCGCAGCTGATCGCTTGTTTACAAATAATGATTTAAAACATTTAATATTAAATCTGCTGCTTCTGCTCCCGACAATGATCAATAAAAATATATTTTGTCTTCCTATTCAAAATACGATATGCGAAGTTTTAACATCAAATGGCTCTATTACATTGAACAATTTAATTATGTTACCCAGCAATAGTATTTTTAAAACAAATGAACCATTTTATGTACACAATTTTTCTAATAATTATGATATACTAATTGGCAGAAAATTGTTGAAAAATTCACAATCAATTATAAATTACAAAAATAGCACAGTTACCCTTTTTGATAAAACATATAAATTAATAACTTCAAAATCAGAAAAGAAAACAATATCCAAAGGGCAATAGAACCAATTAAAAAATCACCTCAGGAATCAATAAAAACAAGAAAGGAAGCTAACTTCGGCACGCCGAAGTTTATATACCCTTGCAGATAGAAATTCTATGACTAGGAATCCATACCATATAAATTATATATATTTGTGTTAAAAAACAATGAAGTAATACCTGCTTTCATTTCATTCACCTATACATATTATATTTGCAGCTTTTCATTCACAGATTTGCATTTTTCTTCTACATCAAACGATAGTTTGTATGGCACATATATGATATAGTCGTCCGATTTTCATGAAATTTGACACAAAATTTAAGACTTATATAAAATGACTATACCTCAAATTTGATCCAATTCTATTGAAAACTGAAAATGTTACAATTTTTTTGTAAAATTTTTCCGATCATTCCTATGGCAGCTATATGATATAGTCGTCCGATCCGGCCCGTTCCGACATATATACGAGTGAGAGTATATAGAAGGCTAACTACAAAGTTTCATTCAGATATCCTCAAAACTGAGAGACTAGTTTGCGTAGAAACGGACAGACGGACAGACGGACAGACGGACATGGCTAGATCGACTCGGCTGTTGATTCTGATCAAGAATATATATACTTTATATGGTCGGAGGTGCCTCCTTCACTGCGTTGCAAACTTCTGACTGAAATTATAATACCCTGCAAGGGTATAAAAAAGGAAGCTAGTTTTCTTGGTCACATCGTAACCCCCAAAGGTATAAAACCAAACCCCCTTAAAGTTAAAGCCATAGTTTCATATCCAATTCCAACAAAAGTAAAAGAGATCAGAGCTTTCCTTGGAGTAACCGGTTATTATCGTAAATTTATTCCAAATTACGCAGACATAGCAAAACCAATGACCAAATGTTTAAAAAAAGGAGCAAAAATAGATACACAAAATCTCGACTACATAGAAGCATTCAAAAAACTTAAAACATTAATAATTAGAGAACCAATTCTCCAATTACCCGATTTCGAAAAAAATTCACTTTAACCACAGATGCCAGTAATCTAGCCCTTGGAGCCGTACTTTCTCCAAATTGTCATCCTATATCCTTTATTAGCAGAACACTTAATGAACATGAATTAAATTAGAGTGCTATCGAAAAGGAATTACTTGCCATTGTTTGGGCCACTAAAACTTTTCGACATTATTTACTAGGCCGACAATTTTTCATTGCTAGTGACCATCAACCTCTTAGATGGCTGCATACTTTAAAAGAACAAATGCCAAGTTACAAGGATGGAAAGCCAAGTTAAACGAATACCAATTTAAAATCGACTATATTAAAGGGAATGAAAATTCAGTTGACGATGCATTATCAAGAGTTTAAATTGAAGAAAATCACCACAGTGAAGTCACTCAACATAGTGCAGAAGAAGATAATAGTAACCTAATTCATTTAACGGAAAAGCCAATAAACTATTTCAAAAAACAAATAATTTTCATTAAATCCGATAACAATAAAGTAGAGCATTCAACAATATTCGGTAGCTCCATTACCACAATCCAATATAATGTAATGACACTCGACAAAGCCAAACAAATTTTACTTGATCTTTTATTCATAGAAACATTACCATTCATATTAAAAGCGATGTAGATTTTGAAATCATTCAAATAGCACACAGAGAAATTATTAATACTACTTAAACCAAAGTAATTCGCAGTCTCCACTTATTAAAGAATGTTTGTTCATACGCCGAATTCAAAGAAATTATACTTCAATCACATGAAAATCTTTTACATCCAGGTATACAGAAAATGACTAAATTATTCAAAGAAAATCACTTTTTTCCAAATAGCCAACTATTAATTCAGAAAATAATAAATGAATGCTACATATGTAATTTGGCTAAAACAGAACACAGAAATACCAAAATGCCTCTTAAAATCACACCCAAACCTGAACATTGTCGAGACAAATTTCTGGTAGATATTTATTCATCTGAGGGAAAACATTACATCAGTTGCATTGACATTTATTCAAAATTCGCTACACTTGAACATATTAAATCAAAGGATTGGATAGAATGCCGGAACGCACTAATGCGCATTTTTAATCAGTTAGGTAAACCCAAATTACTAAGGCAGACAGAGACGGAGCTTTCACCAGCTTGACTTTAAAGCGATGACTTGAAGCAGAAGGAATTGAATTACAACTTAACACGGCAAAAACCGGTGTAGCAGACGTCGAAAGACTACATAAGACAATAAATGAAAAAATTCGAATAATCAACTCATCCGACGATGAAGAAGTAAAATTAAGCAAGATAGAGACAATTCTTTACACATACAATCATAAATATAACATGACACCACTGGACAAACACCTGCTCAAATATTCTTATGTATACGCTGGACATCGAATATTAAACACTCAAATATTAAAGAAAGGAAAATAGATAAAATAAATGAAGATCGACAGGAATTTAACATTGGCACTAGATACAGAAAAGGTCCCCTTCAAAAGGGAAAATTAGAAAATCCATTTAAGGCAAATAAAAATGTAGAAAAAATAGACGAAGACCATTACAAAATTACTAATCGAAATAGGGAAACCCAATACTACAAAACACAATTTAAGAAACAAAAGAAAACTAATGCCGTTAACTTCCACAGGAACGTTCTGTACGATGATGTTATTTCTATTATTTACCACGGGCCACTCAACAAATTCAAATAACCAACACAGATTCCGACCTTGGCTATTTACTCTTCTCAAGCCTTCCAATTCAAATACCGGCAGTATATGAACATCACTGTTTAAGAATTAATTTAACAGAAATCAATATTATCACTGAATCTGTTGGTAACAAAATCAAAGACTCGCCCAGAATGAAATTTTTGTACAACAAACTACTAAAAGAATTAAATGGTATAACTATTCATCAGCAAAATAGGCAGAAACGTGGACTATTTGACATAATCTTTTAAATTTCTTTTTGGCACACTTGATGAAAATGATTAGGTAAAAATTAACAAAAAAATAGACATAATTGCAGAAAATTCAATTCACCTTCATAAATTAAATGATTTCGTAAAGTTTGTGAATGAAGGACTGGAGAAACTTACTAACTATGAAAATAACCGCAATAGTGATTGACACACTTGTTTATGAACTCATGCAATTTGTTGAGTACATTGAAGACATCGAAATAGGCATGTAACTTTCACGTCTTGGACACACATATCACATATCCCTATTAACCACAAAACCATTAACACCATTAAAATAATTCCTTATCCCGACCATAATGGGTATTAGTTAGACTATATAGATCAACAATTATATTTGAAGATGAGAATATATTGATAATCAAGACAATAAAGAAGTTAATAATGAATGCATTAAAATATAATTAATAAATTAATTAATCCAATTTGTAATTTTATACCAACTCCTACAAAAGAAATGATTCAAAATGTAGAACCAAATATTATACTTACATGGAATCTAACTGAAACTACAATCGAACAAAATTGTCAAGAATTAAATGGCTATATTAAAATAAATGGAAGCAAAATTATTAGAATAAAGCAATGCAGAGTTAAAATTGGAAATGTTATTTTAAGCGAAAATTTGTTAAGTCCAGAATTTGATTTAACAGCATTGTATTCACCGATTAATGTAACTAAGATAAGATAGTGAAACATAATGACGTTTTAAAACTAATTTCAGAAAATAATACCACATAATTATAATATAAGTAGTTATCGTTCTTATTATTTTTGTTGTCCTATCAAAATTGTTTACACTAAATCCACATACCTTTTTATATACAAAATTTAGAAAACAATCAACAAATAATCAAGAACCAC